TCCTGTTTGGGGGGGGGGGGGGGGGAAAGCAAGTTTTCATTGGACTAGCTCATCCTCTACATCGAAGATGCCTACTAAACTCCATTCTAATTTTAAATAATTTATTATTTAGGTTTTTTTAAATCTTAATAATAAACTCTATCCATTATCACAGAGTTTGCAAAACCTGTTAACTTAACAACTCTTGGGAGAAAGAACCATCTCTTATTTTTGTGCAAGGTTTAGTGCGGGAGTTGGGAACCTCAGGCCCGGGGGCGGATGCAGTCCTCAGCTTGCCTGGATCCAGCCTTTGAGGCTCGGGGCCCCTCACTGGCATTGAGAAGACCATGTTGGTGCTCCAGCCCCCTGCTGCCCTCCAGGAGCTAGAGCACACAAAATCTACTAGGTTGGGCCCCCCTAGGCTCTGGTGTGCAAGGGGAACATGGGGAGTCTTTCTCCTTCTCAGTTGGGGGCCACAGCGAGGGTTTTTCCCCCACTTCTCACTTGTATGCAGCCCCCAACTAATTTTTCTGAGAGTCAGTGGCCCCCAGCCCAAAAAAGGTTCTCCACCCCTGATTTAGCAGCATGCAAGTTTGTCATCTAGGTGCTAATACTACTACTAACAACAAGAACAAAAGCTATAGAAACTCCACTGTTGTCTCATCCCCCTAGAGATGGTACCTTCAAATCTGAGTTTGGGTGCATTTGTAGGGGAACGGTAAAGCAATCAGATGGACTATTTTTTTCAAGAGACAGGACTGAAGGAGAGCTCTTGTAAGTTTTAAAGCTTTTCTTTCTCACCAATAGAGCTGGTCCAATAAAATATATTATCTCACCCATTTGTCTCTCTAATATCCTGAAACTCACACAGCTACAACAGGATACAAGTCTTATCAAGGCAGTCTCATTTTTCAATGGTACTTAAGATTTGGAGCCCTAAATGAGGACAATTGTTTTAAACTCTGTAACCCAGCACACTCCTCCTCTCCACAAGGGGTACTACAATAGGTTCTACAAAAAGTCAATTTCAGCTTCCAAAAAGCGGCTGTAGATAGCATTATTCCAGGAGCCAAAGGTAGGTAATGTAAGATGTGAATGATTTTCCCTTGGAGTGGCAAGTGGCAGAAATGCTTTCTTCATTTTGATAATCTGGTCACCTTAAATATGGGGAAACTTGCATGGCTGCTACTCATGCAATACCTGCACTGTGGATAAAGGACCTTCTCTGCTTCCAGTGGCAATCAATCCAGAATCTCTCATGAACACTGAGATGATGGGGCTGTCAGGCAGGCGCACTAGATTCTCCAACGCCGTTGATTCACCACCTCACTTGAGCTCTAGATTCACAAACAAAATACTTTAGATTCATTTTAATGCTTTTCATATAAGCAAAGCAAATTTTTAGTGGAGGGTTCACAACCAACAGGGAGTTTTGGAAAAATCTATGCAAAATTTTTCCCATGTTCAGTTTTTCATTGGGATTTTAGCCAACTTCTGATAGATTATGTCGAGATTTCTCACTTTATTTTTGTCTCTACTCTAAACTCTAAATAGGTTTGAATCTACCTATTTAATGTCAGACTCCATTGTAATACTCTAGGGCTGTGTCTAGACTGGCAAGTTTTTCCACAAAAGCACATGCTTTTGCAGAAAAACTTGCCATCTGTCTACACTGGCCGCTTGAATTTCCACAAGAACACTGACTTCCTATTGTCTGAAATCAGTCCTTCTTGCGGAAATACTATGCTGCTCCTGTTCGGGCAAAAGTCCTTTTGCGCAAAGCTTTTGCACAAAAGGACCAGTGTAGACAGCTCAGATTTGTTTTGCGCAAAAAAGCCCCGATTGCAAAAATGGCGATCGGGGCTTTTTTGTGGAAAAGAGAATCTAGATTGGCACGGACGCTTTTCCGCAAAAAATGCTTTTGCGGAAAAGCGTCCATGCCAATCTAGACGCTCTTTTCCGCAAATGCTTTTAACGGAAAACTTTTCTGTTAAAAGTATTTGCGGAAAATCATGCCAGTCTAGACGTAGCCTAGGAGGTTTTTCAAAAATTAATGTTAAAAATTAATTCTAGTGGCTGCACAAAATTTACAACAAAAAAAAAAAAGTAAAATTTTCCCATACCAATCAATCTGTATGGGTTTAACACTTTGTAACTAGAGCAGAAGTCCTTTTTTCCTACTTTTTAAAGTCCTTACAAAGTTGTAGTTAATAGAAGATTTTACAGAAAACTATTTTGGAATACATCCCATCATCTTTGAAACTCTTACACTCATGGAAAGCTTGGTTCTCTAGAGCAGTACTTTTAGTCAACACAAGTCATGCTGCTGTGATGGAAGAGCAGATTGCCTCCAGTGAAAGAAGTGCGGCACAGGGAGTTGGCTGACCAATCTGCTAAATACCTGGTAATGTTTCAAACATAGAGGGACCTCAAATATTTTTTTAAAGATTTGGTCTGACTTTTTATACATCTTTGATTAATTCCTACTAAACAAAAGCCAATGTCATTCTTCCTTTCCTCTCTCTGCCCCCCTCTCTTTTGGTTTCCTCAGTAGTTTACTTTTTCCTTTTCTTTTTGTTCTCTTATTTTGAGGGAAAAACCTCAAATATAAATAAAAATAATAAAGATTAGCCTTGCTGTTCTCTAGTGTCTGCAGGACACTGGAACATGGGAGATGTTGCGGCTATTATTTGGTCCAGTCTCTTCCAAGCGGGGAGCATATTGCCACTCTGAAATAATAAGGGCCCTACCAAATTCATGGTCCATTTTGGCCTATTTCATAGTCATAAGATTTTAAAAATAAAAAATGCCATTATTTCAGCTATTCAAATTTGAAATTTCACAGTGTTGTAATGGTATGGGTCATGACCCAAAAAAGAGTTATGGGGGTGGATGGTGCATAACATGCCACCTTTAGTTCTGTGCTGCTGCCTTGAGAGCTGGGCTTTTAGTCAGAAGCTATCACTCTCTTGCCACTCAGTTCTGAAGGCAGTGCAGAAGTAAGGATAGCAATATTGGGAACCCCCTGCAATTCCCTTTTGGTTCAGGACCTCCAGTTTCAGAAACACTGGCATCTCCCATGAAATCTATATATCAGCACACAAAAAACCTGATTTCTTGGAAGGAGATCTATTTTCACGGTCCGTGATGCATTTTTCATGGCTGTGAATTTGGTAGGCCCTAGAAATTACCACTAAAGACTGCGTCTTCTAAGCATCCAACTTCTTCTATCTCATCCAACCCTCAAGTCACAGAATGACATTTTAAAGAGTTTGGGACTTCTCTTACACAATACAGAAATGTTTTGGCAGATAGGGTGTGGGAAATGTGAAGTGTTTGTTACTGGGATATTTGTCCTAGAGAATAGCATGGGCTTTGCACTGGGGAGGAAAGAAATTATGTGGGGAAATTTTCCCACTTGCTTTCCAGATACCCTTCCCTCACAGCTTAATACATTCCAGTCTCCTTTCTTCATCTATTGAGAGCACCTACCTTAATGAAGGAGTTAAGGACCTGTTTCCCACCTCACATTGTACATATGCTTCAAATATGACCTGGTGCTTCTAAATCTTAAAGCATGCCAGATCATACAGTACTAGGAATCGGAGAGCCCACCTGAGCACACAGTTAATTGGACAGACCAGCAGGCATTACACAGTGGATGATCCAACACTTACTCCACCTGGTATAAGGTAGAGAGAGGAGAATGAGTAAGCTGGCAGGCCAGCCAATAATGTATTTATAATACATTGAAACTAGGATAAAACTTGAGTCACTATAATCAGTTAGACGCTGATTCACCAAAATATCCAGGATTTTCTTCATAAACTATGATGTTCGTAGGGAAGACTGGCTGACAATGCAGACAAAACAAATCAAGACCATACAGATTTAGAAATTATTTGAATCTTTAAAACATACTTTAAAACTTATATACATTAAGAAGATATTTCTACCAAGAAAATGAAAGTTAATATGGACATGTGTTTTCATCATTGTGGAGGCAGGAAAAGGGAATAAGGGAATTTGTGTGCAGCCATCTTGGTCTTGTTAACAAGAAAGCAAGAGTCAGGCTAAGTCTGTGGTCTGACAATGCGAGATCTGTAATTAGACGCTGCCTTTGCCTCTCTCCTCCATACCGAGATAAGGATAGAATGCTGACTCTGGCAGGGACCTTGAGATAAGGAGCATCTGGGTGGAACTAAATAACTGTTAGCCATTGGTGTTTGTAATGGGAAGGAGACTAATTGTTATTGTTATTATATTTAATAGACAGTATATAAACTGCTTCATAATTGCTTGTATTCAAGGATCTGCCTGGGAAGAGGGGGCTCCCTTCCCTCTCCCCCCCATCCGAATCAGTTTTTCCCTTGCTGCAGCTCGTACTAGAGTGAGGACAATGTTTTCTTCCACATCATTAAAACAAACAGAATACTCCTAAGAGGTGTTAGTTTTCCTTTGTTTGCAAACTCATTAAAAAGGCATTTGCTCAGGTAACATTCAAAACATTTTTTTTAAACAAAAATTACTAAACCCTCCTCCTTCCCCCCAAAAAAGCTTAAGCTCTACAGGAAACTGTTTGTACACATATCATTGTTTGTCATTCTATATTTTCACACCCAAAATAGAGGAGGAGCAGTGTGCCCCTGGAAGCAATAGTTGTAGTACAGCACCTACTTTTCTCTCAATTTCCATTTATATTGTGCAAAGTCAATTAAGGGAAAATTATATTATACATAAGTCAACGAAGGGAAAATTATGAATAATGTGTGTTTTGTTTGCCTGAAACTGTGAAGAAACTAGGAACCAACACAGCTGCACATACCTGGTCAAACTTTCCCTTGTTTTTTTATTCAACAAGACATATTTATTTTTCCTGCTGTTATAATCTGATTTCAAAATTTTTGTTTTCTTTTTACCTGTTGTTGCAGTTGTAGTCTCAGTTATACTCTGCTACAGCCTTCTCTTCTTTTCCTGTGTTTGAGGTGTGGACCTCTGTAAAATAGAATCAGGAAGTGGTCATAGGGACTGGACCTCCCCAACCTCCCCACCTATATAGAAGTCTCCAGATAAACCCCTCCTTTTAGGGAGGAGTTAGTAAGGTCAGATAATTTGAAGGTTTGGGGAGTGATTGGTCAGGATAAGTTCTTCAATCATATTAATTAAAGAAACATAGAAAATAAGTCCTATGCTTCTGGTTGGGAGCCAGAAACTTCCTGAGTTTCCTTGCTTACACCTTATATTATTCCTGATGAATTCCAGAAGGTTGATGCAAAACCCATTAAAATAAATAGGAATCTTTCCACTAAATTAAACTGACTTTAAATCATGCTTTCGAGTGGATTATAGAAGATAAGAATAAGATGATTGACAAATGTAGAGGCCTGCACTATTATCTGGAGTCACAGATGCAAGGTTTATGGTTTTTTTTATTTGTATCTCACACTCATATTTTGTAGTGCTCTTCAACAGTAACTTTGAAGTGCTTATGATAATTAATAATAGTAGGGGGCTATGCCCTCTGCTTGCTACACTTGCCAAACACCATCACCACCTCGCCACTGGGGAGGGCCCATAGCGGCCCGGGGGTTCTCCCCCCTATCCTCAGCTACCGGGAAGGGTCCAAAGCCGCCCTGGGCCCCGCTCATCTCTCCCCACCAGCCACCAGGAGGACCTGGGGCAGCCCCAGCTATTCCCCGCCCCCAGTCCCTTGGCCACTGGGGAATCTGAGGTTACACCAGCCATTGCCCCCATCCCCCTGTTGGCGGGTCCTGGTTCTTAGCTCTGCCTGGCTGCCAGGAGGGCAAGCTGAGGCTGCACTGGGCACGGCTCTCTCCACAGCCACAGGGAGGGGCTGGACCAAGACCATGCCAGCCCTGGTCTCTCCCCCCTCCCTCCACTGCTGGGAAGGGCTCTGCGGAGGCTGTGGCAGGGCCAGCTCTCCTCCAGCTGCTGGAAAGGGGAGAGGAGGGAAGGGCTGGGGCCACAGGCAGCCCTAGCTCTCCACGTGGGCCCTGGGGAAGGCCAGGCTGAGAGTGGGTGGGACTTGGCTCCTGTGGACGCAGAGTGACGTGAAAACATCATTCTGTTGTCCCACAGGAAAAATGTTTATATAGAGAGAGATACCTACTTGTTCAAAAATCTGTTTTGATTACAAAGATTCAGTAGAGACCTGTTTTGAGAAATAACTCAAATGTAAAAGTTCTTCCCGCAGGGGGCTTGACTTGATGACCAGTTCATCCAAGAGTAGGGGTTATGCTTTTTGGGACAATTGCAAAAAATGAGTGCAGAGAGCAACTTTAAATTATTGCTTTTCATGGAGATAGGAGAAAGTAAAATGACCAGTTTTCCTGGAGGACCCTGCTATATATTGTTCTGAAAATACAGGCTTCTGTTTTAATACGGATTTACCTATTTCTGCTAGGGGCTGATTTTTTTAAAAAATTATGTTTCTCAACTGAAATAGTTACACTGGTACACTCCCTTGTTTGGACCTTTACATGGCAGAAAGGATACCAGTGTAACTGTGTCCACATTGAAATACACTGGCATGATCAAAACAATCCTCTGGTCTGTGCCTAGGGCAGACAAGGCCTACGGGAAACTCTCCCTGCACAATCCCTACCTCCCAATAATAATCCCTGTGCAGCCAGGCTTAGTCTGTGTTCAGAGTTGGCCCCCCAGTCCTGCATGCCCCACTGTGTGCTTGAGATTCACATTCACCCACTGACTTGCATGGGCCTAATCACTGGCCTGGCTGAGGCGCCCTGATCCTACAGAGCCTGTCAGCCAGGCCCAGGAGTGGCCCAGGGGAGGGTGGTCAGAGCCCACCACAGGTCCACGCCAACGCTCTCCACTTGTTGGCACAGCCTACAAGGCCTCCCTCCCACAATCTCTATGGTACCTCCCGGGCCACCCCTCTGGGCTTGCCTTCCGTAATCTCTATGGTGCTTTCCCCTCTAGGTCTCCTCTTCCTCCCATCTCTATGGTGCGCGCGGCCCGCCGGCTCCGGCAGCTGATTGGCTGGGAGGCAAGTTCTCGCGAGACGATAGTTGAGCCCAGCGTCCCGGCGGAGGGAGGAGGCGGAGTGGGGTTCTGGGCCCGTGCACCGGAGCCGGCGGCGGGTGCCCGTTCGGGAGA